TCGTGTAGGATATGGTGCACGATTCAATATAGCAGCGGTTCTATAACGGGAAGCTCTGTATTCAACCAATTGAGCTAATCCTAAAGCAAAGTACTGCGAGTGCAGTGACAGATTGTCCTTTTTGTTCCTTCTGTATGGAAAATCAAATCAGAACGCCCGTTACACAACAAGACACTTTCCATCTTGTGCCTGTTAAAAGATGAAACACTTCCCATCTTGCTCCTCGACATCTTTGATTAATTTTGAGAAGGAACCTCTGCAGGTCAGTCCCCTCCTCAACGCCTGCTCAGAACACAGGGAAAGAACAGTTCTCACTTGCACAGTAGAAAGTGTCAGGTCGGAGTGCAGTAGAGAACCTCACTAGGCTTTCATTCAGCACAACAGCAAAGCCAAGATACAGGAATCTTGTTCCTGTCGCTCCTAAGTTTTTCTTTACAAAGTTATTTGTTCTGTGTTGCTACTGCGTTTGAAAGTCTTGATGCACCGTCTGTGCTTCAGGAGTTAGACATGATGAAAGGTTACACTAACTCCAGTGTGGGAGTACTTGTAAGTTAAACAGCATAGAAAAGATTTAACTAAACGGTATTATCAGCTTTTCTTAGTAGCTTATCAAATTATACCATCACTCCACAGCCAGAGGTTTATGTGGCAGGTAGAATTCCTGAAAAGAAATACCTGAAAAGGGGTAAAGAGAAATGGTTTTGAATTCAGTGGTTCAGCCTTTGAAAGGATGGCAAGACAGCTGTCAGGAAATAAGGGTAGTTAAAGGCGAGACACTAACCAGGGGACCATGAATCTATGTCTTCACTCTGGACTGTGGTTTTGTGAACACAACAATAAACACAAGCCAAGCAAGAAGAATCATGGAATTGTCTAGGTTGGAGAAGACCTTTAAGATCATTAAGTCCAACCATTAACCACAGCACTGCCGAGTCCACAGCTACACCAGGTCCCCAAGAGGCCACCTTGCAGTGACAAAGGACAGAGAGGGGAGAAAAGGACAAAGACACCAGGATTGCACAGGGACTCGAGGTATCCAAGAGGAATGTCATGTGAAGCAGACATCCCCCCAGTGTTAGATGAAACAGGGAATGGAAAAGCAGATGACAGGAGAATGATGTATTGAAAACCAGTGAGGAACCAGAACATGTATTGCAAAGTAGTATTTAAGTGTATTCAAAACAAAATGAAGATGAAAGAAGTACAAGGAAAAAACAATAAAAAGCAAAACCAATTGGAGAGGGCTCAGAGCTGTGGCTGTGGGTGTCCCTATCCCACCTCCCACAGGAGGAAGGCCAGTGCCAAGATCACATCAGCCATGGCTTTGTTGAGCCATGGACGCTGCCCCTGAGGCTGCTGCTCCAGCACTGCACTACAACTTAAACCTCTCAAGTGTGATTTGGCTCTACAGAGGCAGGATAGAAACAGATTCTGAGTGATCAACAGTAGCACAAACCAGTGCAGTTCTGTCCACCCTTCTCTAGCATTTAAAGATAAAATCGGTTATCTTACCTCAGACCTGACAAAGGTCTAAAAGCAACACATTCAAATCAGCTATTGCCAAGGAAATTAAATCCTGTGGGAACAACCCTAGAGGATCTTCACTTTCCTCCTCGACAAGAAAATGTTACTTCTGCTAAGGAGTGGTGTGTGAGCCTCACGGGAACACAATGAAGACAGTCAGCAGATGGGAGAAGATGAGCAGAAACCAGAGAGCATTTACTTTCATGTAGAGAAGGACAAGCAAAATATGTGACTGGCGATGTAAAATGAAGGAGGTCACAAACAGAAGGCACTTAACATTTATCTTGTCTTGCAATACAAAAATAAGGGAACAACAACTGAAATGAGGGCAACAAATGTAAAACTGGTAACCTCTTTAAAATACAGACCACAACTGACCTGTGGGAATGGCAGTCTGGAGCTCAAGCTCCAAGCTTAGCAAGACACTTTAAAAATGACTACAGCCATCTAGTTATGCTACTGAGAATAACCATAACATATCAAAGCAGTAACCCCCTTATTTACCAGGGAAACCAACAATTAATCTGCCTGTATTTAAAAAGTAAATGCCTTCACATGGATAGATTGTTCCATTTGCCCATTTATAGCCACTTCACATAATTTTCTGAAGCATTTGGTCCTCAGTATCCTTAGATTTATGGTATCCAATTAGTTTGAGTATTGATCCCAAAATCCTTTTGCTCCCACTGTTCAGGAGCAGCCTCACCTTGAGAGTTGGCAGCTCAGATTTCACACCCACAGTGACACCTTCTTTTCCCCTCCCCTTAATCCATCCCCAAACACACACACAGACTAATCCCAGCCCCCCTTGGGACAGCAGGTACAGATACCTTCAGTTTATTGTGTTGCATGTAAAGCGAAATGGAAAGATCTATTAAACTCGATTTCAGCAAGCATTCTCCCTTGAAATTTGCTAAAAGTCATCCCACATTCTCTCATGTATTTCCTTGTTCTACATTTGATTTAGTTGAGGTTGCTCAGGAATGTTTCTCAGCCATTTATTAATACGTATTTGGGGAATAATTAGCTCCAAGGAATCACCGCGCTGGTGTCCCATCCAGTCCATTCTGTGGACTCCTGACCCACGTGGAACAGAAAATCAAGACAAGTGTAAGCCTTGTTTGAAAAAGATGCTTTCAGATGGGTCACCAGAAAGATTTCCAAGTCCCCCGCTTCACCCCCCATCCCAAATCTAAGCCAACAGGTGATAATTCCTGTAGGAACAATCAAAATACCCCTTCTCATCTCCATGGAGCAGACGAAGCAGCTGCTTCTCCGAGGGAAGGATGCTCAGTGCTTCCACTGAACTTAGCAGGAAGCACTTGAGCTGCTGTGTGAGACCCACGAGCTGCCATCTGCAGCCTGGCATAAAAACACTGCTCTCTGGTAAGGATGATACTGATAAAGCTACACAGTTTTTACACAAATGAAAATAAACTAGTGACTTTTGAGCAGTCCCTGGCAAAGAGATTATATAGTGTATATATGGGATTGTCTGTAATCAATCCCGGCTTTCAGCCAAACATGCTTACAACGTTGTATAAAGGAAAAGAATTAAAGTTTTCTAAGCCTATAGCCATGGAGTTCAATGGTTGTAGGATGAAGGCTGTGTTCATACTCGGGTCTGCCCGAGCAAACACAGAGTAGCAGCACCCAGGAGCATTGTTCTGCTCCTCTCCCATTTACACCGTAAACTCCCCAAGTACCAAACCCAAGTGGCTTGTTTCATTATAGACGTAAACTTTCTTCACCTTTAGTCATTTCCTGGAGTCTAATTGTAGGTGAAGTTACACAAATATGACACCTAGAGCTCCTGGTACATCTCGTTCTCATTGGCATATGGTACAGACTGGAAAAGGTTAAAGTACATTCTCCTGGTGAGTGAAGGACTCTGGGGATATAGAAACTGATAATGATTCCACCTTAAAACTCATCAGTTTAAACTGAGCACAGGGCAATACAAACAGGAGTTGTCAATGGTTTCGGATGGATCTCCTCGGTTCCATGTCTAGTGCTATGGTATATATACTGTACAGATTGCTCTGCCACCAGGACTGGCAAATAAAAGAGGGGACAAAGGGGTAACACCAGCTAAAGTAACCTTGAAGGACTGTTTCCTTCATGGTGGTGTGGAGAGGCTGACACTGCCATCAGCAAGCCGCAAGCACAGGGCTACCAGCCACGGCAGTCTGGCACTTTAAAAACCAGAGGGTATTTTACTGGTCCTTATTAAAACAGAGCCCAGTCTGAGTTCCCAATCCTCCGAATGAATAAAACATCTACTGGCATCAAGTAATGATCCTCATCTGTGATCACTTGCTCTCTGATGTGCTGACTAGGACTAGCATTCATGTGTTTATTCTCTTGTAAAGAAATAAGGTCTTGAATGAACCATCTGCTAAAGATTCTCCAGACTCTAAGAAACGTTACAAGAAAGTGCTTTTCCAGACAAATGTGCTAAAACATTTTGATATGCTTTTTCTCAATTAGCTGCCTTTTTTTTTCCTTATCATAATATGAAGACTTCACGGAAGATTATCTTCATTTCTGAATACTGAAGAGAGGTTGTCCTTATGCTCTGGTGTCAGGGGAATTTACACTTATTGAATCACCAGATGATGTTACATAGAAACCCCACATCTCTGGTAGGTTAAAGAGTGAGCAATCTCGTGGTGTGTGACTTTTTAAAGTATTTAGACCTCACTCTCTTGAAAGAGGGTTTGAGAAGTGACCCACTGTCTCCTATACAGTTATCCATGCAGTACTTCAGCTCCCATCTTCATCCATTATCTGATTTAAGGATGGATCATCTCTGGCGAAGCAAATATTTGTCTTCTGATCACAGAACTCAGAACGGACACAACAGCATGTCCGTAGATACATGCAAGTCTGGACCTGCTCAGGAGAAACCACTGTCTCCGTATGGTTAACAACAGGCTGGTGGAGGGTGTATCGTCAAGACAGTGCATTCTCCCTCTGACAGGGAATTCCTAGTTCTTGCCTTGCAGCTACCTAATGTTTGGTTTTACTTCCTTTTCATCTGCTTCATCCTCACTGTCATCAACTTGCTGAATGACCAAGTCGGTTGACCCATCCTCCACGATCTCCACATCCGATCTGTTATCTTCCCCATAGTGCCACCTGGAATCCTTGTCTCCATCTGGTGGGAATTCCAGGGGTGCTTCCGCCTCCAAGTCAATGCGGATACTGTCTATGCCAGCTTCAGCCAAGCACTCGTTACAGAGTCTGTAACGCCTCGTCCCCTCTTGGACCACTTGGCCCGTCAGCTCCGTCACGTGGCGCTTACACTTCCTGCAGATGGGCTTGCAAGCCTGGTGAATCTGGGAAAATGGAAAGGAATGGATTTGATAATGTATCCACAAAGAAGCGGGGGTTACAGTGACACAGAGTAGGGTTGGAGTAGTGTGAAACGGCCGCATTAACTCATTTTGAGAGGCACCAACTGCCCGCTTCACCTTTGCAAGCATCAGTTAACAAACAAATTCATCCCCTTTCATACAAAATACGCCTCAAACTGACTTCAGCAACCCCAAATTCTCTATTACCTCTTCTTTACAGGAGTCACTAGATCACCCAGACCCACTCATACTGTGGTTAGTTACACGCTGAACAAAAGCTGCAGCTCCTGGGGTACGTACTGTTCGGAAGTGGCTGCTGAGGTGGTCCAGCCGGCTGAACCTCTTCCCACACGCCTCGCAGGGGTACGGCCGCTCCCCCGTGTGGCACCGCAGGTGCCGCTTGAGGTCGGCTTTTCTCTTCACCACGTGAGTGCAGAACGGGCACTTGAACCTCATCCTGGGCAGATCGTCTGCTGGGAAACAAGGTGGGTTGAAAAAAGGAAGAGATTAATAGCTGAAGGGGGCTACAAGGATGCTGAGAGGGACCTTCATCAGGGACTGGAGTGATAACGACAAGAGGGAATGGGTCTGAACGTCCTTATATCAGGTTAGATATAAGGAAGAAGCTCTTCCCTGTGAGGGTGCTGAGGCGCTGGCACAGGGTGCCCAGAGAAGCTGTGGCTGCCCCATCCCTGGCAGTGTTCAAGGCCAGGTTGGACACAGGGGCTTGGAGCAACCTGCTCTAGTGTGAGGCGTCCCTGCCCACGGCAGGGGATTGGAACTGAATGAGCGTTAAGGTCCTTTCCAACCCAAGGCGGTCTGATTCTATGATAACACATCTAGTCATGTAACACTCAGGAAAAGGCATTCTACAGAGCAGAATGGCAAATAACTTTTATTAGGAAAAGATTATCATAGGTCTTTCCAAGCAGAGAAATCTTGTGTTTTCCCGTATGTCACACAGGAGTGAAAGGAGAGGGCTGTTAACTTTATTACAGTGAGCTGGAAAACATCCCAAAAGATCCCGAATTAAATTCAAAAGATGAAGCTGTAGAGCCACTAACGTACTTTGAAAGCTTTAATAAACCAGGTACCTCAAAAAGTCAAAATTAGTAACAAATAAAGACTTCAACTTTCCAAACTTCGATTCCTGGACAACCAGCTGGCTTTGTGGATACGGTACACTCAGTAAAGCACATTTACTTGCAGACGGAACCTATACTGAGAGGTGACCATGCCCCTGCAGCATTAGTGGTCACTCACCTTCAGCCCAGCTGCCCATGACTCCCAGGATGGAGGGCATGCTTGTGTACTGCTCCTCTGCCTTTGAGGCCTTCAGTTTACTGGAGGAACGGGGCGATTCATGCTCCGGCTGCGGCACAGCCAGGCTCCTCGGCATCACATCAGAGCCCTGCCCGTACTGGTAGCCCACGTGAGGAGATTCAGCCTCTGCTTCAATCTGAACTTGCTCCTCAGCCGGAGCACTGTGCCCGCCGGGCTCAGCTGCCCTCTCCTCCAGCTTGCTGGACTTATAGTGCAGGATGTCAGAGGGCGGCTGCGGCCCTGGGTGCCGGGGTTTCTTCCCGGTCTCCTGCCGTGGCTCGTGTTTGGACAGCTGCTGTGGGGTGTTCCTCGGAGTGGTTGGGTAGTAGCTGAAACCACTCCACGTGTTGCCACCCATCATACACGTCCCTTGCTCTGGGCTCAGGTGTGAGTGTGGGGGGCTGCTCTCCGCCCTCCAGCCGGAGCTGTACAAGCAGGACCGGTCCACACCATTCGAATTGACATCTTTATCTGACAGACTGAAGTAACGATCCTTCTCCTTCTCACTGATGTCCAGGGAGGACTTGATGAAGGTTTTACACACACTGATAACATCGGTCATCTGCAGGTAGCTGGCAGCAGACATGACCTCAATGACGTTCTGACCCGTCAGAGACAGTTTCCCTGAATACACAAAGTCCAGGATAACCGTGAATGTGTCGGGAGAAAACGCCTGGAATGTGGCTGTCGTCGACTGGCTCGTCTCCTTTGAGCTCTGAGAGAGCAGCATCTTGAAATAGCCGCTGCTGGCGAAGAGCACATTGCGATGGGCTTTGAAGACCTTCCCCTCCACCAGGATATTGCAGTCGCAGAACAAGTCCTGCCTGCGCTGCTCATTCAGTTGCTGCAAGAGGTGAAACTGGTGAGAAGAAATCTCCATTCCAGAGCAGCTGAAACGAAGTCGCTCTGAAAAATAAAACCATCAAGACACTGGATTTCAGCGTTGTGCAACTCAGCCAACGATGTCAGGCCCGATTTTGCAGTTACCCTTAGGAATAATCTGATTTATTGGAGTCACAGCATGCACAGACCGACGTTCTCAGGAGAGAACCGCGATGGAGCAGCCGACTCGGC